ATGCCGTCAGAAGTTCTTGTACACAGGAAGAGCTCAATAAAAGCTGGTGGAATGGACTCATTAAAGCAGCTCTTCATTGTCTGGCTCCAAGCCAACTTTCTTTCATTTTGTTTTAAATCTCTTCCTTTAACCCACCCTAACCTAATTTAAGTACCTCAAACATAAGTTCTCTCTTCCTTTTGGGCCTCTTTAGGTGTCCTCCCTTCTCAAGAAACAATTGCCCCCCACCCCCAAACCCAACTTCTACTCCTTCAGTTCAAAAGTTGGATGGTAGTATCCTAAGAAAGGAAGACTTCACGTATACCCCCAATGAGGTGATCTTCCTTGATGTGGGCTCCTGTAAGTTTTCATGCTTCTCTGCCATGAAATTGCCATCTTTGTCTGATGTTGTTTCTCTCATTGAACTGTAAGTTCCCCGAGGGCAGGAACTGCATCTGCCTTGCTCACCCCTGTATGAGCAAAAGTCACACAGACCCTATTTAAGTGAAACTTCTTCCTTTAAAATCACATAAGAGCCAACAAGATAAAATTTCCAAAATAATTTTCCTAATACCTTGCTTTTGAGAATGACAGCATCCTTTTAAAAATCTCGTCTTCATCTTTGAAAGGCAAGGAAACTAAAAGCAAAAACAAGTTGTCTTTTCAACACCTGGGGAATGGTTGGGAGAATCAGCAGATTTGTGTTTCCCTATGACATCTTGGCTCCCAGTGGATTCTACTTCCCTTAGGTTTTAGGATTCCAGCATGTTTCCAGCATGATCTCCACCAGAGGAGAAGTTAAAAATTGTATTTTTCATCACCTAATATCGAATCACCAACCTGAGTCATGCAACAAACAGGCTGAATCCCCTCTTCTGGTGGGAGATGTGGAGTATTGCAGTAGGAACTTAGCATCATCTCCATTCACAAAACCAAAGTTGGAGCAAGCAGTTTCAACCCTGGCTATGAATCGTCCAGTTTGGCTGCTCAGAGTGATGTGTCAGCCTCCTCCCTGATTACGAACTTGGAGGCTGGCTAGCCAAGCAATTCACCAAACATTTCCAGGCATGGATAGAAAGAAAATTACATTTTGTATTCAGTTGTTTTTTTTTTTTTCCCCAATCCATGTTGTAATTCTGGGAAGCCCTGCCACCTACTTTAAATGTTCTAGAGATAAAATGAAGGAACGAGGTGCACAAGCGTCATTATCATGACTACGTTCAGTGCAACAGTTAGACAACTGCAGTACACAGACCTGCCTGGATGAATTACCGTGCAGAATCAATCCTCTGGGAGGGGGTATGGGGGAGGATATTAGCATCAGCATAGAGGGAAGTGCTGGGAAAATCAGGCCTGGGCTGCTGGGATGCTGAGGGCAAACACAGAACCCTGTCTTATTTTAAGCCTGGTGGGGAAGCCCGAGAGACCACAGCAGGTCAGGGAATAGGGGAAAGTGTTGAAATGTTTTATTTTTGTTCACATGCTAGAAATAAAGGAGGGGAGCAATACAGTGGGAGTTTCAATTAAGAGGCAGAGTAAAGAAAACTGAAAATACTCACTGAGCATGTGCACTTTAAGGAAGGTTTTATAATGAGATAATGTAAAGGGAGGCTTAGGCATGTAGGGCCAGCTATAACTGGTAGGAGAGCCATGGTATCTACCTTCCATGTGAGCAGAAGTTGCTAAGATGCCTGAAGAAACTTCCTCCATTAGACTTTGAGTTCCTATGCAGGCCTTTTCGAGTCATTAACTTGTCAAGTAGGCTCCTTAGACTGGGCTGAATTCAAGTGGTATGAAAGCTTTTTCTAGGATACTATATAGAATGCCCACTGGCATCTCTGTGCCAAGCTAGCCCACAAGAATTTAAAGTGAACTTGACAACTAAGGATCTTTGGGCAAAGCCAACCAGTCTCTCTAAAGCACACCCACACACAAAATGCCCTTGAGAGTTTTCTTTGCCTCACCCAGCTGGCCATTGCCCTGTGACATACAGGAATTAAAAATCATATCAAGAAAGTCACCATGCTTGGGGCGCCTGGGTGGCTCAGTCGTTAAGCATCTGCCTTCGGCTCAGGTCATGATCCCAGGGTCCTGGGATCGAGCCCCGCATCGGGCTCCCTGCTCAGCCAGGAGCCTGCTTCTCCCTCTCCCACTCCCCCTCCATGTGTTCCCTCTCTCGTTGTCTCTCTCTGTCAAGTAAATAAATAAATAAATCTTTAAAAAAAAAAAAAAGAAAGTCACCATGCTTTTCCTCTTTCTCCTCGCTGTCTTTTTTTCATGAACAATTCAGTCCAAAAGCCATTAGGGAGGGGCTCAACAAGATGGTATCTGCAGTGGGGGTGGGAGGAGTCAGTGATCACAGGACCACAGTGTGCTGGAACCACAGCAGGGTGGGTGGGGAAGAGTGGTGATCCAGCACATGGTATTGGAGCCGAAGATGGGTAAGGAAAATAGGAGATTGGTTACATAAGGTGAGGAAGGGATTCAATAATAAATATATTGAAGGTAGTAGGAAAGAGGTATTTTGTTGTCAGGAAGGTTACAAATATGGAGAGAATATGAACCCCGTGGTACTAGATTAGAATTAAAGGTATCAAGGTAAGCTCATGGTTTTCAAGATAGGTAGGAAGGTAGATGGATAGATAGACAGACAGATGGAATCTGTGTATATTCTCTAATTCTGTTTGTTGAGAGTGCCTGGGAGCAGTGACGATCCAATAACAATGAGCACACCAAGCTCCCAGATTTTGGTTTCTATGATTTTTTTTTTTTTTAATTTATTTATTTGAGAGAGAGAATGAGAGAGAGAGAATGAGAGAGAGAGAGCACATGAGAGGGGGGAGGGTTAGAGGGAGAAGCAGACTCCCCACTGAGCAGGGAGCCCGATGCGGGACTCAATCCCAGGACCCTGGGATCATGACCCGAGCTGAAGGCAGTCGCTTAACCAACAGAGCCACCCAGGCGCCCCCAGATTTTGGTTTCTAAATTCCATTCTCCACTAAAAGGAATTAGTGCTGTTTGAAGAAATGGCTGATTTCAGGGTTAGGAAAGTATGAGATGAGACTGGAACATCTTGTGGTGTCAGAAAGTGAGGACATGCCCAGAGAATAATGAGGACATGTCAAAAGGACGCTGAAGTGGGGCGCCTGGGTGGCTCAGTCGTTAAGCGTCTGCCTTCGGCTCAGGTCCTGATCCCAGGGTCCTGGGATCAAGCCCTGCATTGGGCTCCCTGCTCAGCAGGAAGTTTGCTTCT